ATTCAAATTTTTTGTGTAAATCAATCATGACACATCAGATTCACACAAAAATATATACACAATGGTTGGAGATGGTCTTAGACTCTTTTATGCTCCTAAATGTCTTTGTCTCTTCCGAAAAGTCTGGCGTTGTTGCAAGTCCCTAAACTTCATTATTTTCGGTGACAATGTCCAACAGACAAAAAGTAAGAAATTAAAAAAAAAAAAAAAAAAAAACCCATTAAGCAAATATCTTGAACTAAACTAAAATACCTAATATATAAATATATATTGTACTCATCTAATATAAATCTAAACAACTAAAATATATAAACCCGAAAACAAAAATCCCAATTCAAGTGCTCACTCATTTCTTGCCTTCGGAAGTTCAGATTTAGCTTCCATTTGGTTGATGCTTTTTCGAAAAATCCATTTCAAATTTAAATACAAAAATTAAAAAGAGCTTATGAACTTAGAAGGAAACAATCTTTAGTTGTTTTGATGACCCAAAAAGAAAGGGAAACAGTGGTACACGGAAGTGATATAAAAGATGGGATTTGATTTGGAAAACCAGTGAGAGATAATGGATTTGAGAGAGAAGAAATAAAGAATAAGCCAAAAGGGTTGTAGTTAATTTCTCTTATTTTATTGAAAGGGAAGGAGGTGAGAAAGGTGTTGAAGACTTCGAATCGCTCAAATTTTGAAATTTGTCCAAATGATGATCACTTGAATTGAAGAATCTTAAAATTGGCCAATGTTTTGTTTGCTAGAGAGCTCGTAACCGGAAATAATAGAATTTATGAACTTGGAAGTACCTGGACTTTTAGAAGAGACAGGGGCAGTTAGGACCGTTAAAGAGTCTAAATAGTATTTTTCTATATTTTTAGTTTGATAAAATTAAATTGCCCCCCTTAAATAATATTTTTGTATACTTTTAGGCTGCGTTTAGTAATAAGAAACGTTTCTTGTTTTCTGTTGTCAACCTCTAAAAAGGCAAAACGAAAAAAAAATCACGTTCAATAAAATGTTTTTGTTTTTGTTTAATAGAAAACGTTTTCAACTTTTGTGAAAAAAAGAGAAAACATCAAAATGATGTTTCTTATATTTTTGACACTGTAGTTCATAAACGTTTTCACTAATGTTACTGTACAGGCACTATTCATTTTAAATAAAATTCATATTATTTGTGTTATATACTAAGTTACATATTAAATGTTAATAAAAAATATATTTTTAATATAGAATAAATTAAATATTGTACATTATTTTCTATTCGATAAAAATATATTTTAATATATAATATATTAAATAATAATGTAAATTATTTTTTGTGACAAAATAATTTTTGATATAGAATATAATGTTATTAAATTATTAAGCATTAAATATTTTATATTATTATATATCATATCTATATTATATTATATGTAAATATTAAATTATAATTAATTTACTATATTATAACATAATATATATTTTATTACATATAAGATATATTATTTAATATTTTTTATTCATAATAAATTATCATATACTAAATATATTATATATCACATAATAAATATATACATCAAGCATATATATGTATTTATATACATAATTGGTGGGAATGTTTTTGTCTTCGTATATCTAATTTTGTACTTATAATGTATTGAATATTTTTAAGATTTATAATTTTAAATTAGATTTTATAGATTTATGGCTTTTTGATATTAATGAAGTAAGTGTCGCGCCTGAGTGATTGAGTTGCTCCATGTGTCTAAGAGTTTGTGTTCAAGTCATCTACCCTCTTCCTTACCCTCCTCTCTAATCAATAACTCCTAAAATTCTTTTCATAAAAAAAATAAAAAATAAAAAAAAAAATTTAAATAATATTATGTACATTTTATAACAAATATATTATATTACTGAATATAATAATTATTTTATATTTTTAAATTTGTGACAAAACGATGGTTAATAAATATCATTTCAGTTTCTATTTTTAAGACTGCCAAAATAGAAAAGAAAAAGGTTACTAAACAGACCCTTAATTAAATTTTGTCTCTCTCAAAAAGCGGAGCCCTAGAAAGCCGCCCCTTGTTCGTTTCGTCTCTTCCGATTGGGAAGTGTTGTTCATTCGAAGATGCCAACCCACAGTTCTCTCTGATCGGCTTCTTCAACTTCAGGTAATGAATCTTAATTTCGATCTGTTTGGGATCCAGTTTCAATCTGATCTGATTGTTTGATGTTTTGTACGTCTTAAATTTGGATAATTTTGTTTTTGGTTTTGTGCTTTAAATTCCATTTATTGATGTATCGTGCCGATTGGGTATGCCATTTATAGGTAAAAATGTTTTCTTTTTTCCTTCTTCTCGAAGTTAAAATTAAAGATACATAATTAAAAATAGAGTTATGCTGTGTTTTGATTTTGGTGAAAGCTCAGAATTTTGATTAACTTTTTCAGTTTTTCAATTTGTTGTAGTTACTTTGTTTTGAATTTGTATGTTTATTCAGGAAGTCACTTTATCTTTCTTCTTGTGTGTATGCAATTTATGGGTAAAAATGTCTTTTTTTGTGTTGGGCTGGAGCTGATGCTTGAGCAAATTAGAGTTGTTGGTTTTTGATTTTGGTAAAAGTTCAGAATTTTCAGTTTAGTTAATAATGAAACTTTTTTAGTTTTTATATTTGTTACAATTATTTCATTTTTTTTTTTTTTAAATTCAGATTTTTATGTCAGTCACATTATCTTTGATTTTAGTTTCTTCTTCTTCGTTTATTAATCTCCTTTTGTTGATGAATCCTGCCGATTAGGTATACAATTAATGGGTAAAAACGTGTTCTTTTTGAGGTTTTCTTTTTTCTTTCTTCTCTGCGAGAAAAAAGTTATGTTGTTTTTGGTTTTGGTAAATTTTTTTTAGTTTTTCTATTTTTTACAATTACTTTCTTTTGTTTTTTATTCAGAATTTTATTGTGAGTCACATTATCATTATCTTTCTTTTTGTGTGTTTGATTTTAATTTCTTGCACTTCGTATGTTAATCTCCTTTTGCTGATGAATGCCCAGAATTTTGTTTTTTAGTTTTTCTATCTGTCAGAATTACTTTATTTTGGTATTTTTAGTCAGAAATTTTCTGTCTGTCACATTATCATTCGTTTTGTGTGTTTGATTTGATTTCTATTTCATAAATTGTTTATTGATCTCCTTTTTGATATTTCTCTTTAATTTCCAGGAAAATGGAGAAGTGCCACAGTAGGTTTAGCAGTGTGGAAGCTGTGTCATACTGCGATGAACTTGTAAATGAGATTTTGCTTCGATTGGCTCTAGACTCCGTCTGCAAGTTCAAGTGTGTATCGAAAACATGGAACAGTTTGATCTCTCATCCTATTTTCTGCAGCAATTACCTTTCTCAAAGTAAGAATTCTCTTCTCCCATTGTTGGGATTCTTTCGGATTACTCGTGCTCCTAAAGTTGATCGTCAGCCAAAGTTTCATTCCTACAAAATTGTAAGGAAAGGAAATTTATAAGTTTGGATTTGTTTGAAAACTATTTGCTTACTTATGTTTCTCCTGAAGGCCTAATACTATGCCATTTAGAAAACTTCACAGTTTTCAAATACTACGTTTGTAATCCCGTCACAAACCAATGGTTTGCTCTTCCTGAACCAAAACTGCTCCATCCTCAGAGGTTTTCTCTTGTGAACAATGTAGCAGCAAAGATGGTGATGGTGTAGTGCATTTCAAAGTAACTCTAGCTATTATGGAAGAGTGAGTGGGAGCCACATATGACAGATTACATATAGAAACTCTCTCTTCTCGTACAGGCGAATGGAGGGAATCATTTCTCTCTTCTCCATCTGAATTTTCAGGTGATGATGGCGAGTCGTACCTATGTCATTCAGTAGGTGGGATGTTGTACTGGAAAGTTAGTGGTCATTTGGCTGCTTATGATCCCAACATGGGGGGAAATCGTCTCTGGCTGATCAAGTTGCCACCTCTCTCTTGCAAAAACAAGAAAGAGAGATTATTTATGGATTATATCTTGGGACAGTCGTCGTCACCGGATGGTTGTCTTCTTCGGTTTGCCTTAAATCACAAACTGATGATCGAAGTGTGGGAGCTCAAAAAGAGGCTTTCTAGTTATAGTTTATCAGGCATCATACCGAGTAGTGAATGGGTGTTGAAGGAAGTTGTTAGTCACAAGAATTTGGGCATCGGAAATTATCTTCCTCACCTTCCTCCTCACATTTGCTTGATAGAATTTCATCCTCGCAATGCAAAGCTTCTGTATCTTAACGGGGAAGCATGGTGTTTTGCTATGATTTTGAGACTAGAAGGTTGGAACAAATTCAGTATCATGGAAATGGAACTGGAACTGTCTCGGCAAACGATACGCTAGTTCCTTACTTCTGACCTCCTTGGCGCCCTTCTTTGCCTTGTTTACCTTAGTCTTCCAAGACTTCACATCCGGGAGTTATTGGTGATGCTGTTTCTGTTTTACTATATGAACATAATACCCTCTTGTGGTATAAAAGCGAACAAATCAGTACCACTACTTCCAAAACTGAACAACTTGCCCCCCTAATCTGACCTCCGACCACTTTCCGTCCGATTGGTGAAGCACGTGACCGCCACTTTTTTTATAATTCCAAAAATGCCCTCCATTGTGACTGTTATACCCCTTCCCTCATAAAAATATTTTTCTACCCCTTAAAGGCCCACATCACCAGGTCAGTTTTATAACTCTAATTTGAATATATAAAATAGATATATATATATATTTGTTCATATAGTACTATTGTTGAAGACACCATGGTTGAAGATGCTGGAGGTATATGGTTCATCTAGTACTATTGTTGGACATTTTACAACTATTTTTTTAGGCTGTGTGTGTCTTTTGGTTGAGGAATTCTCGTCACCTACTCCTTTTAAATTCCCACTCCCTCTGTGCCTCTCAAGATTTGTAGAGAGAGAAACAAAGGTTTTTAGACAGAGACAAACAAAGAGCCCAAAAGCTCTGATTTTGCTTCTGTGGTGGGTAAAATGGAGAGACACAATTGCAAGCTCTGTTCTAGAAGTTTCTCTAATGGTAGAGCTTTGGGTGGTCACGAGGTCTCACTTAGCCACATGTGATTCAGTAACAATTTGGATCCAAAACTCATAAAATGTGTGATTTGACTTGACCCTTTTTGTATTTTTTATTCTGCATGCAGGAGATAAATTCTAATAGGGTAGTGCTCGTTCCAATCAAAGAGATGACTGATGTTCTTTTACCGAACAAACAGCCGGTTTTTGATGGGCTTGAGAAATTCCGGCAACTTGGTGAGAGTGGAGATGGAGATATGGGTAGTCGATCCACTTTATTTGCGAACAGGAAGAAGAATCATTTTACGAAAGGTGATCTAGTTATTGATGTCAAGGATGCTCGGAAGCATCAAGTAGGCACCACAGGAGTGTTACAATACCTTGCGAGCCATAGCTTTGGATCCCTAACGGATGGCAAAAGATCTTGCTGTTGTACATCCGTGGCTTCCTCATCACATTCTGTATGACTTGACAGAGGTTCAACATTTTGTGTTCATTAGGCAGCAAAGAGTGATGTTGCATCCTTGTAGAATCACCTTCATCTCGAAGTTCAGTTTCACCATCCACTATGAAATCTGCATTATAAGTAGCAAGATAAGAAATCAAGGGAGACACTGTTCATATTAGACAGACGGAAAGGGGTTATCTAGTATGACTAATCATTTTTATTTTATTTTTATATATAATCGTTCAGATAATGTTTCAATAATTAATTTGTGTTTATGTATTCATTTTTTGCAGAAATCTTTTGCTGTAAGAGATAAAGAATTTTTCAAGTGTTTTAACCATGGAAAACATGTTAAGCTGGCCTCTGGTGCAACAGAAAGCTCTGAGGTAACTTCTGGTGTTACCCGAACAGGGGACTATGATCAGTGCAAAATCCCATTCTCCTGTCTTTGTTGGTGGATTTAATATTAGTGTATGTGTTTGATATTTTGTATTTGCTGTTGGGACTTTGAAATTTTGCTAATTCATTTTTTTAGTGTCTTTAAGCTGAACATTGTGTTTATGCATTCATTTTTTGCAGAAATCTTTTGCTGTAAGAGATAAAGAAGTATTCAAGTGTTTTAACCATGGAAAACATGTTAAGCTGGCCTCTGGTGCAACAGAGAGCTCTGAGGTAACTTCTGGTGTTACCCGAACAGGGGACTATGAACTTACTGGTTTTATCAGTGCAAAATCCCATTCTCCTGTCTTTGTTGGTGGATTTAATATTAGTGTATGTGTTTGATATTTTGTATTTGCTGTTGGGACTTTGAAATTTTGCTAATTCTTTTTTTTAGTGTCTTTAAGCTGAACATTGTGTTACCTCTTTTGCAGTGTGGTGATTCACTGGCTTCCACTTCTACGAGAACTCCACGCCGTGTTTCCAAAATTTGGCAACCTGGTGAGAGTGGAGATGGAGATATGGGTAGTCGTTCCACTTTATTCGCGAACAGGAAGAAGGATCATTTTACGGAAGGTAATACATATGGACACTCTTGGCTAGTGTCAAGGGCACTGCATTGGAGTTATCTTTTCTGCTGTATTTGGAAATGTTCTGTTCACTTTATGGTTGTTCTCTCATGTTTTTTTTCCTCTGTAAGGCTGTTTTAACATGCTTCGGTTAGCGTAGGGTTTAGTGGCTTCATAGGAATGCCACTGGTGGTATGTTTTCGTATTTTCTTTTCCCCTACTTGGGGCTTAATGTACATTCTTTTCTTTTCTTCTATATACAAGCTTTCCCTTTAACTAAAAAAAGAAGGTATTAGACTACCTCAAGCGAAGATTGATTGACTGAATGCATGAAATTGAAACCTAACAGATGAATGGCGTCTTAAAGTTCAAGAGATTTATGAAATCAATTCTTCATTCTTTTGACATGCATGCTTGCAACTAGGGCTTCAGTGGCAAAATTGAGCCCTAACAGCCACGAAAATTGTGAAATGATGTGTCCTTTCACTTCAAACTAAGCTTCAATTTCGATATCATCTCAAAGTGGAAGAGTTTTAGAGAGAGGTGAAATGAGGAGAGAGAGAGAGAGAGAGGGATAAAGCTCTGACAGATGAACACCGAGAGAGATTAACCCTAATAGATGAGAGAGAGAGAGAGGAGTTGAGAGAAGTTCAGCGAGATATGGTTTTCAGTTAAGTGCGTTTGAACAGAAAAAGCTCCCTTTTGACAGCAGAGCCATGTAACTGCTGCCTAAAATAGTTTATTACAGCAGTTTTTTTTTACTGCTGCTAGTAATCTATTGCTGTTGTCCTTTTTTGTTGCAGTGGTTTATTATATTAAATATTACTTTACTCTAGATTTATTTTTTAAAAATATTAATATTTAGCAGTGTCCATCTGTTTTTTTAGTTTGGAGATATGACACGTTCAATGTGTGCATACTCACACTCAACACACATACTCGAGAGATTATAACACCAAAGAGGTGTTCCAATTCTTCTATGTGGTTCCCTGACTTCCTAACATCCGCTCTTTTTAATGCTGCCTATGGTATTAGAGACGTCAACAAATATTTTTGCTTAACGTAGTTTTTTTTAACATAGTTATTAGTTAACTTGTAAATTTTGTTCCACATGTTCTGTTGTTTGTTTACTGATGCTTATTTTTTTTTTATTTATAATAGGTGATCCTAAGAATTCTTATGCGTCTTATCTTGCTACTTATAATGCAGATTTCATAGTGGATGATGGAACTGAACTTCGAGATGAAGGTGATTCTAGAAGGACGCAGCATTACTCTTTGCTGCCTAATGAACATGAAGATATTGAAGCCCTCAATGCTATGTCAAGTCATACAGAATGTGATGAGGAAGCCATGGATGTACAAAAGCAAGATCTTTTGCCATCCGTTAGGGATCCAAAGCTATGGCTCATGAAGTGTACGGTATTGTAACACTCCTGTGGTGCCTACTTGATTTAATCGTAATGTTTTATTAAACCTATGTTCTTTTGTGCTAGACTGGTCATGAGCGGTAGGTAGCTGCTGCTTTAATGCGGAAGTATATTAATAGAGGATCGGAATTTGCAAATTAGGTCCGCTATAGCCCTTGATTATCTCAAAGGCTATATATACATTGAAGTAGACAAAGAAGCCTATGTGAAGGAGGTATGCAGTATCGATGCATCATAATTTGTGTTGCTCAACTAAATGAGGACATTTGCGATCAAATGTGTGATTTCTTGTATTTTTTATTCTGCTTCAGGCACGCAGGTGATAAATTATAATGGGGTAGTGCTCGTTCCAATCAAAGAGATGACTTATGTTCTTTTACCGAACAAACAGCCGGTTTTTGATGGGCTTGAGAAATTCCGGCAACCTGGTGAGAGTGGAGATGGAGATATGGGTAGTCGATCCACTTTATTCGTGAACAGGAAGAAGGATCATTTTATGAAAGGTGATCTAGTTATTGCTGTCAAGGATATGCTCGGAAGGATATAAAGGGTTCGGTTGAGAAAATCAACGGAGACACTGTTCATATTAGACCGACGGAAAGGGGCTATATCCAGTATGACAAATCACACACACACACACACACACACACATATATATATATATATTTTTTTTTTTCGTTTTTATATAATCATTCAAACAATGTTTCAATAATTAATTTGTGTTTATGTATTCATTTTTTGCAGAAATCTTTTGCTGTAAGAGATACAGAAGTATTCCAGTGTTTCAACGGAGACACTGTTCATATGAGACCGATGGACTGACGGAAAGGGGCTATCTAGTATGACAAATCATATATATATATATATATATATTTTTCGTTTTTATATAATTATTCAAATAATGTTTCAATAATTAATTTGTGTTTATGTATTCATTTTTTGCGGATACTATTTTCCCCCATGTTGGGATCATAAGCAGCCAAATGACCCACAAAATTGAAAATTTTCTTTCTTATAGTGGTGACAAACATACATAAAGACATATATGTACCACAAAATTGAAAGTCAATCAGCTTTCTCGGTTGGTCTCAAAATCACAACCATTCAAAAGAAATTTATATTTGAATCCTACTCTTGTTTGTTTGTATAGCCAAAATGTACAAAGTGACTTAACATATCAGGAGAGCCTTGAAACATCTATCAAGCACAACATGGTAACAAATTTATTGCCCTTTATTAGTTTCACCCCTTCTTGTCCCTGTAAATGGCGTACAGTACCATCAGCTGTATCGACCGTAGTCCAATTCCAAAACCATTAGGTTCCTGTAATAACCACCAATCATCCACTTTCAACACTCATTGTACAACGTGGAAATGGAGATATGGGTAGTCATTCCACTTTATTCGCGAACAGGAAGAAGGATCATTTTAGGGAAGGATCTAGTTATTGTTGTCGAGGGTGCTCGGAAGGATATAAAGGGTCCAGTTGAGAAAATCGAGGGAGACAATGTTCATACTAGACCAACGGACGGGGGCTATGCAGTATGACAACTCAAATTTTATTTATTTATTATTTTTTTTCCGTTTTGATAGAATCATTCAGATCATGTTTAAATTATTAATTCGTGTTTATGTATTCTTTTTTTTGTAGAAAGCTTTTGGTGTAAGAGATAAAGAAGTATGCAAGTGTTTTAACCATGGAAAGCATCTGAAGCTGGTCTCTGGTGCAACAGAGAGCTCTGAGGTAACATCGTGTTACCCGAACAAGGGACTTTGAACTTACTGGTTTTACCTGTGCAAAATCCTAATCTTGTGTCTTTGTTGGTGGATATAATATTAGTGTATGTGTTTGATATTTTGTATTTGCTGTTGGGACTCTGAAATTTTTTCTAATTCTTTTTGTGTTACCTCTTCTTCAGTGTGGTAATTCACTGGCTTCAACGTCTACCCAACTGAGAATTCCACGTCGTGTTTCCATTTCTCCAAGGGCTTTTTCTAGGGGTGGCCCTCCCTCAGGTGGCGATTTTTTAAAACTTAATGATTTCTAATATTATACATTTTAATTTAAGTTTACTGTTATCGATCTGATTATAGTCACTATGAGTAAATCAAGGCATTATATTTCATCGTATTCATATATTTGCAGGAAGGCATAGATGAGGTGGAAGAGCATGTGATCCTTTGGTTGGTTCAACAGTGACAATTTGCCAGGGCCCCTCAAAAGGCTACCGCGGACGTGTCGTAGATGTGACAGGTCCATCGGTCCGGGTAGAATTGGAGGCTATGTTTAAATGTGTCACAGGCAAGTTTTCTGATGATGGAGTTATTTTTGAACTGTCCTGTTTATATATACTGATAATAATTGTTGTCTTTGCAGTTGATCGATGTCATATTAAAAGGTTGTAAGACTGCACTTTAATCTACCTGGAACAATAGAGGTGCTTTTGGTGTCATATTGTTTCAGTGCCAACATTCCTATCCTCCATTTAGTCTTATGGTGTAATTACACACACAATGGGTGCTGAAAGTGGATGATTGGTGGTTATTACAGGTACCTAATGGTTTTGGAATTGGATTACGGTCGATACACCTGATGATACTGTGCGCCATTCATAGGGACAAGAAGGGGTGAAACTAAGAAAGGGCAATAAATTTATAACCATGTTGTGCTTGATAGACGTTTGAAGGCCCTCCTAATATGTTAAGTCACTTTGTACATTTTGGCTATACAAACAAACAAGAGTAGGATTCATATATGAAATTTCTTTTGAATGGTTGTGATTTTGAGACCAATCGAGAAAGCTGATTGACTTTCAATTTTGTGGTACATATGTCTTTATGTATGTTTGTCACCACTCTAAGAAAGAATATTTTCAATTTTGTGGGTCCTGCTTATGATCCCAACATGGGGGAAAATAGTATCTGCAAATTGTTTCTTTTCTCTAGATTACCTTGATTTGTTGATTCCGTTCTAACATTCTATTCCTTGTTTCTCACCTCGTAGTTCTATTTGATTTTGTTCTAACATTCTATTCCTTGTTTCTCACCTTGTAGTTCTATTTCCTTTCTTGTGAGTCCAGATCCAAACAGTAAGTCCTAGATCCAAACAGTAAGTCCCAAAGAGAGGGCCTGAGCGGTGCGGCATAAGCGGATGAGCGCGTGAATAGGATATATGTAATATCCTTAATTTTAAAAGGACAGTCCTGAAATTTAATTTATTTGTTTAAGTGCATTTTTAGTGTTTAACTGTTTAATTGAATGTTATTATTTGGATGCATTGATGAATTATTTTAATTGTTTTGTTTCCTTAATTGAATTAAGTGTTGTATTTATTTGTTAATTTTTCTAGTTAATTGGATTTTGTTTTATTGGTTATTTGATGTAATTGTATTAATTATATTAATTAGTTAAATACGTTAGTTGGATTTCTTGTTTAATGAATTATATGGTTGTTAAGTATTAACGCATCATTAGGGTTTTATATAGCCGACTTAGGGTTGGTGTAGAATTAAACTTAAGGTTTAATGACGCCCTATATATATTGCATTATACGTATGTTTAGGGTTACAAACAAAACCTTATTCACATATACAGTAAGATAGAGAGACAGAGAAGCAGAGAGTGGAAACTTGAGAGCTTGCAGAAAGGTTCAAGGAGGTTGTAACGGAGTGCTTCTGGGTTGAACCAAGAGCGCCGGAGGTGTAGAGCAATAGTCGACAACGTTGATGGAAAACTTAGAGACGACAGTTTCAGTTTTCTAACTGGAAATTAGAGGCAAGTCTCTGTTATATTCTTTTCCTTTAATTCGTGTTCTGTGCATGCCTAGTTAGACTCCAGGGATTAAAAATGGATTAAACAAATATAATAACATGTCTTTTATGCATATATGAAGTTTACTTGATCTCGTTGAATTAACTGGTTTGCATGAATTTTGTGACGCTCTGTTATTTGTTCCTTCTGTGGTTTACAATTGAGCGTTGTTTTAATTGAGATAAGTAATACAATTAGAGGCCTTGTAATTCATCTGGGACTGAGTTTGAACTCTAGAACAAGTGCTTAGAACAATATTTAATTGTACTAAAAATCTGTCGTGACTTGCTTAAAAACTGCTAACAGAGGTTCTGTAAAACGTGGCTTTAAAACTAGTGAATATATACATCTTAGGATTGGAGTTCAGTGGTTTAAATTTATCTAGGACTAAGATTGAACCTAGATTAAGAATTAGAACACAGTACAGAAGTTCTGGAAATCACTGGGGATGGAGAAGACGATGCAGGAACAGACTACGGCATCTAAGGAGAGAAGAGCAGGCTCCAAAGGAGGAAGAGCCGCCTCTTCCTAACCTTTAAGCCGGCTCCCTAAGGTGTGGAGCCGGCTCTACCTTGCTAGGAGCTGGCTCCTGTTGAAGAAGAGCAGGCTCTGCATTTTTCAAGAGTGTGCTCTCACCTACAGTCTTCCAGTTTTGTTTTTTTGGGCACTGTTTGACTGCGTGGGGTGTTTTGATCAGTTTAAATTGGTTTAAAGGATATGGATGACTACTGTAGACCTGTAAAAATAATGGTGAAACATTAGTTTGTAGTTGGATTAAGGGATGAAGCAATACAAAGTTAAAGAAAAACTAAGGTGTTGCTCACTCTTTTGCAAATTTTGTGCACTGGAACTTAGTTGGATTTTATTATATGTTTTAATTGAGTATAAACATATTTTTCCCAGGTTTATAGGTATGGTAAATTAAATAAACTCAACTATACCTAGTATGGATTTAATTGATACTTTAAATTGTATTAAATTGTATCAATGCATGGATTTTATTGGGGAATGTAAATAGTTGCATATGTTATGGCAGTTTACAACATTGGATATGATTTTTAGGCTCTGTAATGAATGCCTAATAATTATGTATATGGAATAATTTAAATCTTATATTTGGTGCATAAATTGTCATACATATGTTAGACGATGTTTATGCTAATTCTGGAATATGACTAGTGAGTATTTATTACTGTATTGTTAACTATGTTAACTGGAGGATTGTATGTGCCGGTATGGGACGGTGACATACTAGGTATGGATTAGTTCAAATACTAAATCTTACCTAATTTGGAATGAGTTGGATTAACCATAAAAATGTTAAGTCCTACTTATATGGATATATATAAACCAGTATGAGACGGTGTTATATTAGAGATGGCTTAGTTCAAAACACTAAGACATACCTATATTGGGAATGGATTAATTCAAAACACTGAGTCCTACCTAATTTGGATTAAGGTATGGATTAACCATAAAGGTTAAGTCTATCACCTACTTGTGTCATGTCAATCAAATAAATTGAATGACCAATTACGGTTTCAGGATGGATTTGTTATACATATATCTGATTACTTTATAGATGGATGATATTTTGTATTAGGAGTACAGACTTTATATATTTATTATATGTGTCATGGTATGAGTTTGAGTCTCAGGACTATGGTTAGGGTGCGTATATCACCTAGGATGGATAACTGGACATACGTGTTGTTCCCTGGTAGGTTTAGGTACTCATGCCCACCTTCGGGTGCATATTCGCATGTTGCCTTCTATTCAGGCTGAGACAGACCTACTGGACTAGCGAGCGTCGTATAGTGTGTACTATATATACATATATGGACTACTCTAGATATTGTTGAGTCTTTCTAGGATGTATCTGCGTATCGGATTACTGTTTGGATTGTAGTAGATCAGGACTTGCATGTGGGCCTGACTCACTCCTTTATTTTTCAGGTGCTCGTCAGTTCCAGAGTTAGAGGTTGATCATGCAGAGCAGATACAGATATTCATTCCTCCGACTATGTAGGAATCTTCTCTATGATAGCTTTAGATTTTATTTCTGTCATTTTAGTTTCGGTTTGAGAGTTTTAATAAGGGGTCCAATGGATGGATTCCCGAATTGTAAACTTATGGAGGTTTTGGAATATCGGATTTGACTAATTATGATACAAGGTTTTTCTTTTAGTTTCTTTCAGCTTATTATATTATTTTTTATTTCACTTTGTATTCCGTGTTCGATTTAAAATACTTTAATTGTTTGATATCCCTCGGGTTTGGGCCTGAGCCTGATCAACCCGTGTCTCGGATCCGAGGGTATCACAATATAGATACCACTTCGGGAGAACCATGAAGATAGTTTGTTTTAACTAGTCAACTCATCCAAAATAGTGAAATTTAAGAAATCATGAATAGGTTATTTAGATCTATTTCTTCCGTGAGCTCTAGATCCAGAGCCGGTACTAGTCTTCCTCCAGTTCCTCATATTTTCTTGATACAATTTCATCCTCGCAATGCAAAACTTGTGTATCTTCAGCGGGGAAGCATGGTGTTTTGCTATGATTTTGGGACTAGAAGATCGGAACAAATTCAGTACCATGGAAATGGAACTGGAACTGTCTCGGAAAACAACAGACTAGTTCCTTACTTCCAACCACCTTGGGGCCCTTCTTTTCCTTGTTTACCTGAGTTTTCCAAGACTTAATGTACATTCTATGTAACCTTTTACTGTATTGTTTATTCAGATTTCAATTTTTATTACCTTATTTTATATAAGCTTTCTTTTTGAAGTGCATTGGTCATGATGACAAAAAAAGAATGCTTGAGATTCATCCAGGAGTGTTATGGATGATGGCATTAAACCTAAAACTCTGATTGTTTTTATTTTACTGGTTGTATACTGTTTTATTTATATTATATATCGTGTTATGATTATACTGTGATATGAATATATAAGTGTTTTAGTCCAAGTACGTTTTAATATGATTACGTGAAAAGATTTTAGTGTTTGGTTGGATAAATTTAAAATTTAGAATGAAATAAATTTCAAATTGAATTCTCCAAAATATCCCTCTTAGTTACAAATAAATTAAATTAACAAAATAACATTCTCTAATAATTTTTTTAAAAATAAATAGTGGCAGTGGATGGTGGTGACGATGGTGGTGGAGGTGGAAGGTGGTAGTGTGTAAGTGGTGGTGTTGGAAGACGGCGACGGTAGCTATGGTGGAAGGCGGTGGTGGTGGCAATGGTGAAAAGTGGCGGTGGTGGTGGAAGGAGGCGATGGTGTTGGTGGAAGGTGGTGGCAGTAGTGTGGTGGAATGAGATAGTGGTGTAGGTGGCGGTGGTGGAAGCCAATAGAGTTGATTATGGCGGTAGTGGAAGGCAGTTGAGGTAGTAGTGGTGGAAGGTGGTGGCTATGGTGGTGGTGGCGGTGGTAGAAGGCAGTGGTGGTGGTTGCGGTGGAATGTGATAGAAGGCGGTGGTGGTGGAAGGTGGTGGCAGCGGTGATGGTGGTGGTGGTAGAAGGTGGTGGCGATGGTGGAAGGCGGTGGTGCTGGAAGGCGATGGTGGTGGTGGCATTGGAAGGAAGTGGCGATCGAAGGCGGTAACGGTGGTGAAAGGCGGTGGTAGAATGTGGTAGTGGTGGTGAAAGGCAGTGGCAGTGGTGGAATGTGGCTGTGGTGGTGGAAGGAAGTGGCTATAGTGAAAGGTGGTGGCAGTGACGGTGGTGGAAGGTGGTGGCGGTGGTGAAAGGCGATGACCGTGATGGTGGTGGAAGGTGGTGGCAATGGAAAGCGGTGGCAGTGACGGTGGTGGAAGGCGGTGGCGGTGGCGGTGTAAGGTGGTGGCAGTGGCTAAACGCGGTGGTGGTCGTGGCGAAAGGCGGTGGTGGTTGCGGCAAAGGAAGGCAGTGTCGGTGGTGGAAAGGGTGGTGGTGATGGTGGTGGAAAGTGATGGACGATGGTGAAAATCGGTGACGGTGATAGTGGTGGTGGTGGTGAAAGGTAGAGGTGG